TCGTAGTCTAACCACTAAATAATAAGCCTTCCTTGATCTTGAAAACGAATAAGTTTTAATAAATTTAATAAATTGCTTTTATTTTACCGTGGTTGTAGCGGTGTTTTGCTTATACAATTACAACCTCAATAAATATATTGAAGTTTTTTTTATTGTAACCTCACATGTTTGAGCTTTATCATTGAACACTCTCACTACGAGCTGATTAAATTGGCCGAGTTCGTGACCCCAAATTATGCAAGCTTTCAGTAAGCAATAAGACTAAAAAGAGCCTTTTGTAGACCAAAAATCAGAGTTTTAATGAAGTATTTTGACGAAAAATTTCTCAGTGAATATATGGAGTCAATGTGTTGGCTGCTTCGAATGCAAAGTGATTTTAATTTTAAGATTAAGAATACTTTACTTCATCTCAAAATTGTGAAATTTCATTTATGTAATCTATAAAACCTCCTAATTAAATATCAAAAGTTTTTTCAATAAAACTTTATATTCTATCTATTATTTTCAATACCATAACTCTTTAATAAGACCAACCTTATTACCACCATAAAAATATGAAATACATATAAATTACTTTTTTTTCTTTCTAGAATGACTTCAAATTGTAACATGAAACAATATTTGTTTATCCTAAACAGCTTAAAGCTCGTCACAGTATACATCTGTTTCTACTTAAATTTTGTGTTATTGCCCTTTGAACCGTGTCTACCTAACTATCCCGCCACACAAGTTATAAGTCACTTGGCGAATGTGTAGCTCACATTACCCTATCGAATACGTAAAGCACGGCTACTCGTGAGCGTACCTCGTGAAACATTATTATTATTATTTATTTTACTTGATCTAACGTGAAAAGTTTCTAATCATTACATTTTAGTTAAATGTATTATAATAAATAAAAAATACACATGAAACCAACAAGAAATATGGTACTTACTTAGGTCCTTTTTTTTTTTTTTTTGCTGCTGACTGTCAGTTAAACATAACCCTACGTTTGTTATACTACAGGTACTACTGCATTAAATATTTTTTATTTAATTAAGTTAATACATCTAAGAACTCAAAATAATAACAAGTAAAAAGCAGACAATGTCCTATAACTATAATAATTATTCTGATTTTTTAACTATACTATAGTAGCCGTTACAAAATCAGCTAAGCTGCTAGATTTGTTTTCGGTGGGAATAAAATTTGAACTAGAACTTGGAAACGAAATAACAATTTTCTGTACAGAAAACAACGTAATATTATATGTCATTTGCTAGATTAAAACTTTAGCTTTCTATTGGTTATAACGAATATAGTGTTAAATGTCAGACGGAAACTAATGGCAATTTATAAATGAAAGGTATGAAAGGCGAGCGTGAGAAGAGGGGTCTAATTTTCTAGCTTATGGCTCTGTAACTAAATAAGATTGAAAGCTATAAAAAATATGCTTTTTCTGATCAATAACAATATTATAATAAGCAATTTATGTTAAGTTCCGTACTTTTCGGAGGAGTGGTGAATAAATTAGAAAAGGGGGAAATCTAGAGATCAAGGATCATACCAGGAGAAAATGAGAAGTTTTTAAATATTGAATTATAAAATTAAGAACTTAAAACTTATATAATGTTAAAATATTTAGCTACGTTTAAATGCCAAGATTATCGGTATTCTATGATAATGAAATGATTAAATTAAATTTTAAATACAACTCACTAAAATGTCGTGACATGCACAGAAAAAGATGTCCACATGGAAAGATTGAAATACAAAAAATTAAACCTTGTTGGCTTTTCATTAACACAAGATTTATCGGTTGTACATGATAAAACTTTTGTTTATTTTATTCACAAAGTTTCACCAAGTTTATCTGGCATCATCAGGTGGGATACAAGAACCGAGGCTAACAGCATTTAAAAAGAATCACGTGAGAATCTATAACAACAGTAATCTATAAGCATACAACAAAGCAATTGCAACGATAAAATAATGAATCAATGAACTGTCAAATTTATGTATAATAAATAAAACTCATAGACCTGAGTCTAATTATTGAAATTAGTTTTATATACATGAGATAAGGAAATGATTAAAATATACACATAAATGAACACTTTTCTATTTGTCAAGAATACATTATGTCTTTTTTTTTAATAAGTCTTCTTTTATTTTTCGTCTATTAATGCTGCCCTTTTTTGCTGAGGATTTTTAGCTTAACATAATGAAAAAAAAAATTTGTTTTCCTGGACATAAGCTCAAAAACATGAGATGGAGATTATAAGTGTTCCCGCAAATCTCTAGAAAGTTCTTTGTTTATTTCACCAATATAACAGCTTTTGCATCTGTACATTCAATTGCATACACATTTCCTGAAGTATCATTACCCATATACTTTTTAAAGTTGACCTAGCTTTTTTCCAGATAAAAATGTAAATTGTACCTTAATATCAATTTTATATCCACTGGCTGTTTTTAACCAGATTTTTTGACATCAGAAGATAAGTTTTGACGGATGATAAAACACAAGTAACAGGGAAATATTCGAAAGAATCATTTTCTGTGTCAATTTGTGGCTTATTTTCAAAAGAAGCAATTACTTTATTAACAACAGTGAGAGGGAAATTGTTTTGTACACAAAACTGAAATCTAAGGTTTTCATTTTCCTTTTTTGAAACAATCGATGTTGGAAATAATGATTTTATTTGTACGAATAGCACTTTTTAATATACCTAGTTTTTGACATTGGTCATGAAGGGAATTCCAAGGAACATAAAGTCCAGTGTGAGTGTTCTTAGGAAATACGGAGGTTTGGAAGCCTGCGCTTGTCTTTTTAAAAAGAACATTTAGAAATGACAATTTTTCATCAACTTTTTTTTTTCATCGAAAATTTTATGTTTGGGTGTATCTGGTTTAACATAAGATAATATTTTGGGACAACGTGAGACCTATTGGTCCATCTCGGCTGTCCCATCCTCTAAACTGAACTAAAACTATTAATAAATACATTTTAAAATGTCTTAAAGCTAGCCCTTATCATTCATATAGTTATCAAGCTTTCTTTGAAACTCACTCCGAAGGCAACCCATTCCAAAGGCCAACCACCCTGTCAGAAAAATAAAATTGTCTTAGCTGAAGATGACTCCTATCATGTCAAAATTTAGTTCTACTATTCTCACTATTAAGTATAAAGAAAGATGATGCAGCAACACTATAAATTCCCTTTACAATCTTAAACACTTCACTCAGAACCCCATAACTCTTCTTTTTTTCAAGAGAAAACAATTTGAGAGATTTCAACATCTCCTCATACAACAATACTTACATCCTAGGCACCATTCTAGTTACCGTCCTCTGTACTCTTTCCAACAATTTAATGCCCCCAAGTTAAAGAGTCCAAGACTGAAAACAATACTCTAAATGTGGATATCCAGTGATCTATATAATGAAGTTATAACCTCTTTATACTTATATTCAATATTTCTGTATAAAAAAACATAAAGTCCCATTTTCCCTACCACTACCAATAGCGCACTGCTTGGATGGCTTAAGAGACTGATCAACCATTACATCAAGACCCCTTTCTTTATGGCACTGCTTATGGTTATTCCCATCTAAATTATACTTATAAATCAAATTATGATAATTCACATGCATTATCTTGCATTGATTATAATTAAAACACACTTGCCATTTATTTGCCCAACTCACTAAATGATCTAAATTTAAATGAGAGAAAAATTCGTAAATAACGTTAAAGTTATCGAAAGCTGAATAAATGTCATCAACTTATCGAAACCAAAAAAAAATGGTTTGTCAAGTGAATTTGAGATGGCAATGTCTTCAATTTCTTATTGTTACGACATCGAGGTCAGGTGACTAGTATCACGCCACGTCGTTCTAGAACATTCACGTCCTTTCCTTAAATCTCGTGATCCTTCTAGATATAGTGTAGTCTTGTATATATAAGACCGGCCACGAAGCGACGGGGAGGTAAAGAGTAATTGAATGTATGCGGACAGAATATTGTTGGCCACGTGAGTTATAGCGTTTGTTATAGAGCGACTGTTGAAATTAAGTGTATCGTAAAGTTGTATTCGAAAAGAATAAACCAGTTTTATTTAAGAAAGGACTTGTGTCGCTAAAGTTTCGTCGGAACGAATTTACGGAAAATTAACGAACGAACGGAGACGTAATATTATGATAAATATATTGGCAAGTACTGAAGCTACTGGATTTATCATGCATAGGCATTTGGTTTGGATATACTTTACACCTTCAAACTGGAAAATGGAAGATTTAGCGGAAAGGAGAAACAATTTTCTTATAGTGTTGATGTTTAAGCAAAAACGAGGATTAGAATCGTTTTGGTAACATTCCAGAGCTGCATTCATTGCTTCAAGGACGGGGACTTGATTGAACATATTTTTTTACGTCAAGTGTGACTAATTGAATAAAGTGACTAAATTCTCAGAGTTTTTGATAGACATTTCAAATTTTTTTATGAAGGAAGCAACAGAAACATATTTAGAAAACTAATTCGATGACGAGGAACCCACTTTGAGACTAATAATGGTTGGAGACGGCTTGAATGGTAAACTACTTGTACCTGATAATGGCAAAACCTTGTCGAAACGTTGTACATTTGCTGTTATGTTAAACTTATATTAAAGTTTTTCTTCATTACCCATTCAAGCCGTCTCCAACCATATTTAGAAAACATCCAAGCGATGAAATTTCCTAGATTGTAATTGTGTTCGCTATGGGTATCGAAACCCGATTTTTTTATCGTTATTAACCTTTAGACTTACCACTAAGTCATTGGTGGTGGAGGGGGATATGTAAAAATGTTTATAAAATACATAATTAGATAAATGCAATTATACATTTTTCTATACATATCAGTTTTTGCCCTTGTCGAAAAAAGGTTTACCTTTCCAAACCGCTCGGTTATAGGCATTTTCATTTTCATCGTTATGTTTATTACAATTACCTACCTCGAGAGGGCGAACTGTCAGTTTGAGGGATGTTTCTCTGTTGATCGCATGCCTAAACTATTGTTTTTATTATAATACTTAGAACAATCTAAAACTAAAATATTAATATTAAAATATTTTTAATAAGTTATTTTATATTCTGTTAAAAATGTCCTACCGAGATCTTCGAAGTAAGTATAGGTACAGTTGAGCACTGCTTACAACATTATGATTTATACGGTTTAACTTCAAATTCGATTTTATTTTATACTATTTATAAATTATAGTCTTAATATTTTAATTCATATTCATAATTAATACAAATTAACTAACAAGCAGAGTTAACGTTTGACTTTGAAATCCCTTTTGTAAAGTTTAATTATTATTATGGACAAAACTACATAATACTAACAATTACATTAAGATAAACTGTTACTGTTAGTAATAAAAATGTAAACATCGATACAAATTACTGTAGTTTTAAGTTACACTTAGAATGGTCTGCGCACAGAACTTTTGACATTTCTGTGCTTTTTGCTTTCTACAAGTTACATAGTAAAACCACTAGTATTGATTTTAATGTTTTAAAATCCGCTGTAGTTTTTCTGTAATTGTAAAAAATAATAATATTAAAGTATAAGGAAGTTGTGGCTGATGGATAAAAAATTAATGAGAAAAACATCAGTTTAATAAATCATAAAATGAAAGTATTAACTTAAAAAAATTTAATAAGATTCGGTTATGAGAAATTATATTTAAGAATAAAACTTGAAAGTATTTGTGAAATGAGGTTGGCATCAATGTTATGTTGGTTAATTAAATACCAGGTAATTTAGAAAAGTGTTGGATAACCTTGCATTAAATTTCTTGTTGATATGGTAATTCAAAAACTCACTATTTTGATAAAACTGAATTACAACAACTAAGGCATGACCTTGTAAAACATGTTGGTGATCTTTGTGATATGTTAAGTTATGGTTATCATGTTTTGTGTGCTACTTAACATAACATTTTTGTATTTTTTAATACACTTTTGTATATAGATTTTGTTTTCATCTATTTATATTTAATTGTCTTTCAAAAAGAAAATCCATTTATTTTGTCAGCTACAGCAATGTAAGTCATCAAAAAGTACACAAATAACTGATTTTAGAAAAGGGAGATTGATTTACAAGATATAAATAGGATTTTTGATATATCTCAGATTATATTTTCCATTTTACCTTTAGTGAAAAGAAATCTGTAATATAATTAATAAACAAGATCATTTTTGTGAGGTAAAAAATTCAAGGTATGTGTGTTACAATAGTCAGTTGAAGTAGCTATTTGTTTGAAACTTGATTCCTACTAATTCAATTGTACTAGCACTGATATCATGAAAGATTTTCTAACAAACTAATTCCTTATATAGTGAAGACTTTAAATGAATTAAAACAAAGTAAAAAACTAGGATGTTTATATAAATTGTTTGTTTGTTATACATAGCCCCAACTAGAAATTAAAGTCTCCAGTTTGTAGCTTAAAGAAGATTTATTAGAAAGAATGAAAAACTTTCCATAAACTGTGTACCAGCTCCACAACTTCTTCTCTATAAATCATTTCTGTGTAAATAGAGAGAGAGCCAGATAGTATTCTGTTTGAGTGATGCATACCTTTAAAAATTTCTAATTTTGGAACAACAACTATATAGTAACTTTTGTTGGTTGAAAAAATTTCTAATGTCGGTACAGCAACCCCTTTGTAAAACTTAGATAGCAACTGCCTGTTGCAGAAACACAAATGTAGAGAATGATGTTTTAAAAGTCTTCTGCCATTTCTCTTCTGATCAGTGTTTGTATGTTGTTCTTGCTCTTTGTAGTATTGTGTGTTATGATTGGTTGGTTTATCCCCGTTTCTGATTGGTGGAGAGACTTCCAGTAGATTCAACCAATGGTAGGCACAGGTTACTCACCTCTAATCTGGAATCTCTGTTAGTGAATGTTTTATTGTATTGATGTAAAATGATTCTTTAATTTTTCATGGCTTCCAGAATTTGTCTGTGTCAATGATTCTAGTTTTTTCCCAATTTATTTTCTGTCCATTTAACATGGTGTGTTCTGCAATGGCTGAAGTTTGTGTTTTCATGAGTCTCGTACTGTCTTTATGTTCTTTTATTTTTGTCACAAGTCTTATTCCCATTTCTCCAATGTATGTTTAATTGAAGGAACACAGAATTTCATAAATAATATTTTTGTCTTTTTCATTGGTAGGTTTCTGTTTGTTTTTCACCAGAATAGATCTTAATGTCTGTAAAATTTCCACCTAATGTCTATGTTGAATTTCTTGGCTATCCATTTGAGTAACATGTGACTACCATTGGTTGAATTTACAGGAAGTCTCTCCACCAATCAGAAACAGAGATAAACCAACCAACCATAGCATGCTCTCTACAATCCACCAGAATACTATAAAGAACAACAACACCAAACACACACTGACCTGAAGACAAAAGGCGGAAGACTTTTAAAATGTCATCCTCAACACTTGTTTTTCTACGACAGGCAGTTGCCATCTATTCAACTAGGTTTCATCATAAATACTCTGCCTAAACAATCTACCAAAGAACCCCTTACTAGTTTTTGTTGGTTGAACAAATTTCTAATGTCAGTATAACAACCTCCTCGGTAGTTTTTGTTGGTTGAACAAATTTCTAATGTTGGTAAAACAAACCACTTGGTAGTTTTTGTTGGTTGAAAAATTTCTAATGTCAGTATAACAACCTCCTTGGTAGTTTTTGTTGGTTGAACAAATTTCTAATGTCAGTATAACAACCTCCTTGGTAATTTTTGTTTGCTGAACTGGCTTCTTAAGCTCTGTATTCAGATGTAAGGTTGTTTTATAACTAATGCATGTTTACACTTTATATAACTATTTTAATATGATGATTTGCTTGGAAATTTCTAAATATTTCTTTAGTCATATACAGACATTTCTAAAAAGTTTGACAAATTATTTTAAACTATTTCTAACAATTAGGCTTTTTGTTATGACAGAAAATATCAACGTTTCTAAGTTAATATAAGAATGCCCATTGACCTTAGTTTGGTTATATCTAGTCTATTAACTTGACAATGAGTATACTCCTTGTTAGGCCTTACTCATAACTTCAACAAAAATACTTTTTAGGCCTCACTCACTCATAAAGACAATAAGAATACTCCTTGTTAGGCCTCACACAGCTAATTAATTTTGAAAAAGCAAACTTTTCGAGAGTGTTCATTGTTTCTCCTATTTTACAGACTTTACAGAAATGATGAGGGTTTTGGGATATCCAAGAATGATTTCAATGGAAAATTTTTGTAATCCAAATTTTCCACTTGTAGCTGAAATTCTTAAATGGCTAGTGAAAAGGTAAGGTTCAAGGTGTGTAAAGCTTCATTAGGATAAGGTTTTGTTGCAGTACTGCCAGAATAGGAAACCCTTGTGGTGGTTTATCTTAAGCTGAATGTTGAATAATGTGTGTGTTTGTGACTGAGTCTACATTAATTAGTGAAATTTCTGCTTCAAATTCTCTTGAGGGCTATTATTTCCTTTCTAATTATTTTTATTCAAGGGTATTTTGGTGACAAGAAAATTTTAAAACATTAGATTTAATTTCAGAAGGATGCCTGTGCTTAACTTTCATGGTGTTATGTATATGTAGGTCATATTGTCAGACTTAATGGGAAAAAATGAAGTATCATATCAGATATAAGCTTTACATATCTCTAATATGTAAGAAAGTAGAATACTTGAAATGGAATTATTTTATCATATATGAGAGTGGTATACTGTTATTGTAACAAAATTTATTTAAAACTAACCTTTTCTCATGAAGTCACAATAACTTATTTGTGTGGGTATTCAGTTGGTACATTCCTCAGGTGTAGTTAAAAAGAACACACTTTAAATAGCAAGTGATTAAAAAAGTAATTTCATAATAGTCAGAAAGTAACTTGCTGTCCTTGTCTACAGTTTATGGGATTTGTTTTTCTTCTGTATTTGCACGTTGCATTTATATGTTATATATTTGTTTTGAATCAACTATTAAGTCTCCAGCTTTAACTCTACTTAATATATCTACATTAGAGTGTTTTCAACTTTATCTATGGATTACTTTGTATTCATAATCCTGTAATAGCAACAACCACCTGACTAACCTTGGAGTGGATCTTTAGTGTCATCAAACACTATGTAAGAGTTTGTGATATTTGATTATGGTGAACTTTATGTTAAACAGGTAACAACAAAATACCATGTAACACTGTTAAACATTCTTGCTGAGTGACTGAGTAATTGATTTCAGCTTTACTATGGTATGGGTTTTTTTTTCCATCTTTACCTAACTGCAATTAAACTGCTTCTATTGCATAAACTGAAACAATCTGTATTTCATGTAAACTCTGATAAAATCTAGGTAACTCAAAATTGGAGCGTTTAGTAATAAATCTTGTAGATTCTGAGATGCCTCTTATTTATCTACTGGAAAACATTTTTTTTTGTCTGTTCTTGTAAGGGTCTTGCAAGTATTGTAAAATGTGGAATACACCGTTCATAAACTCCTATATTTTACTGTTTTCAGTACTGGACAATTTCTACATTCTTGTTACTTTTTTCAGATTGTAGTTTACAACATCTGCAGTCACCATATGACCTAAAGAATCCATTTCTTTCCTTAAAAATTGGCACTTGAGAGTTTTAACTTCAAGTTTTTGTTAAAGAGTATATGAAACATGTTTTACTCTGATTGTTCTTTGAAACCTTGCAGATTATAAACCAAAAGGCATTCTATTGAACAGATACTTTCTAGAAGGTAAAAATGCAGTTTTCTTTATTTTTAGCCTTGACTTGCCAATAGTCACTATGGAGGAAATGTACCTATTTAAGGTCTTTTGTATATTAGGTAATGGATACATGTCTTTGAACATGACTTGGTTAAACCTCCTAAAATCAATACAAAACCTTAAATTACCATCCCTTATAGGAACTAACACCACAGGGGAGCATAAGGACTACTACTGGCTTTTATAGCTCCTTGTTTTTACTATCCTGTTCTTCTCTGGTACTCTGGACTGTAAGTGTATAACTTGTTAATACTATCCTATGTTTTACTTTATTGGTACAGCCATTAAAATCACGTTCTACAAATAGATCTCTCTATTCTATTAATGAGCTCAGTGGCCATTACTTGTGGTTAGTGTATATATACACTAATGTATTATCCTAATCAGTTTGACGTTTTATACACTTCCTAGTAAAACATATTTTATCTTTGTGTAGTTTTTTATACTATCAGCTGTACCCAGTACTACTTGTTTAGGAAGCACTACTTTAATTTGTAATTAACACTTTTATAGATGCTGTGTCTTCCAAAACATAATTACCTCCACTGCAACTTATAGCTATTACTCCACTGCCAGGTTTCTTCCTTGCCTATCTGAGCATTAGTCTGATTTTTTCTCGCTTACTCCAGTCTTTTATACCCTTCTCAGTTGCCCTTGGTGATAATTGTTTTGTGATAATCTCCACCTACATCAATGGGCCCTCTATCCTGGTACTGTATATAAGCACCTCATTCAGATGATTTTATCACTTTTTCAATGAAGCATCACTAACAGGTTTCCCAGTATTACGATTGTTCGAAGATACTTTGAACGTTATCATGTTATCTAGTTGATTTCATAATAACTGATAATTTTTAAAAATATTTTTTTCATTCAATTATGTTATGAATTCCCAGATTATTATTTCTGGGACAGAGACAAATTGGGTCTCTCCTCTCCCACCTCTGATATCTAGCATCGCACGAGAATCAGGGGGGGGGGGGTCACTCTCGGTTGAGACTGTCAGCGATCTTATTCATAGTGAGATGGATACATATATAATCGGTCCTGTGGTGGTTCTCTGGGGGACTCTGAGACTGTAATTAAAGGTGATACTCGACATTTAGGAGAGACTTTAGATTCGCTTTTCCCTGTGTCTTCCTTTAGTCTGTTGGCGCAAGTTTACAGACTCGCAGAGCTGGGGTCCGAGGTTTGATTCCCTAGGATGGACATGGCAGATGGCCCGAAGTTGCTTTGCTCTAACAAGACAACTTACTTTACCTCAAAAAATGCTGTTTGAATCAACGATAATCACCAAGGTCTTTAAATGATGTATGAAAAATTAAAAGGAGGCCACTTTGGAATAAGCTGCCTTAGATTTGTTTGTCTTCTGTTGGTTCTTTGAGTGTGTGATGTTTTGGGCTTTTTCCTGGTTGCTTTTGAGCCTGCAATTTACTTGATGGCTGAAAGGTCTGGGAGCAAATTTTAGTGGTTTTTTTATCCATACATGTATATTGTGGTTCATGCTGGAAGGTTTACTTCTTAGTTATGTGAAGGGACAGTTAGGCCTTATCCGACTCGTTCGTAGTTCACCTATATAGGTCTATGTCCCCTGATGGGACTGAATAAGTCTATGGACTTACAACTCAACTTCAGCATTTTGTTTCCTTTCACTTCTCTTTGTTTGAAGACTCTCAGGATCACCAGCTTCATTGAGGATGCGCTGAATCCATTGTTAGCATGCACATTGATTCAGATTTTGGCTTGTACATTCCTCCCAGTTGTTGTTGTAGTCTTGAATTTCATCGGCTCCTACAGAGGAGTCATAGTTCTGCACCTATTTGTGAGTAAAGATCCCTGACATCAGCTCCTCAGTACTTTGGTCCTCAGAATAGATTCTGTCTATATCCAAGGTTTGCACTGCTTAATCAGATCACCAGCAGTGTCTGTGATTATTGTATACTTTCAGAGGCTGTGGGGGCTTGGTTCCAAGAATTTCTGGATGTGTGGTAATCTTAACCATGGTCCTTGGGTCAAAATTAGTTGTTCAGTTCATATTTTCCCTACTATTATCCACTCAAACTGTAGGGTTTCTGTTCCCCACAGTTCATTGGGATTTGGAACTTAGTTCTAGGGTTATCTGAGTCTTGTTGTTCTGGGGTTAGTGAGAGAGTCCAGCTAGTTCTTCAGAGTTTTTATTCCTGTTAATTGTTGGTCCTGTGAAGATGGGAGATTGATATCTAGTCATTGATCTTCTATGTCTATATCAATGCTTAGCTTCTCTACGGTTCACAAGTTACTCATTCCCCAATCTGTGTTGATATTTTTTTTACTGGGATTGTAGATATCCAATTTGTTTGTAATCAGCTCCTATCTGAACTTTGCCTTGGCAGTGGAGTCCCACCACTATTGGCATTTGTGGTGCACAAGGGTCAGGTACTGTAGATCCATTTTTTTTCCTTGAACTCACATTTGCTTAACATGGGTTCTGCTATATTGTACAAGTTTTTTTGCCCCTTCATTTCATTGTACTGTGCACACATCATTCCACAGATGATTGGTTACTGCTGGCAACATTTGATCAAGTGTTAGACCATCACATCCTGATTTTACTTTCAGAATACAACCCCTACTTGCTTCCCTTTAGGACTGTAACATCTATTCTTGCTCCAATACAATATATCATCACTCTGGGTATTTTTTATTTTTCATCTCATCTCTCAGTTGGTATCAACTATCTCTCGTCCTGCTAAACACTATAGAATAGGATGCCACACCCTTACCTCTCCCACTGCATGGATGGTTCTTTTTTTTCTGGGAATGTGGGCACCACTCGATTCCTTCGTGCCTTTGGGATGAGAACATAAGCGATTCTTTTATTGGTCTTTAAGCAACTGGGGATTGTAAACATCTATTTCATGATTTCCCCAGTTTAGTTAATCAGGATCACTAGTCGGAATACTACTACAATTTGGGTTCCTCTACTGCCACCTCATCCAGAGTTCCATTCTCTTCACAATTGCCTTGCTTCAGGGATGGGGTACTTATACCAACAATCAGGAATCCCAGAGTCTATACACAGACAATGAGGATTCCCTACACAATGTTTTCATCCTTCTTGCTCTTCAACAGGCAAGGCCTCATGGCCTGGGCTTCTTAAGGGTAAATCATCAGGCTTCATTCAGACACTTCTGTGGTGGTGTCTTATATTTCTCATCAAGGAGACATGTGATCTTTATTTTTGAATTTTGGGCCTCCTTTCACGGGACTAGTTTTATTACCATTCTAGATTGCCATATTCCATAGGTTATGCCTGTGGTAGCAGGTCAATCCTCTTAATACAAACAGATTCTCCCGGCAGAATAGATGTTGGATTGCCTCTCATTTTGCAACACAAATTGGTAGGTTGGCCTCTCATTGGATCATCCAACTCTGGCAATTTGATCTCCAGTACCTCATCTTTGCATTTTTACAATAGATGCTTTCCACCTGGACAGGATGGGATTACCATTCTCAACTTTCTCTTCATTTCATATGTTATCCAGGGTACAAAATATGACTTGTTCCAACCCAGTGACAGATCCTGTTGATCGCACCAAATTGGTGGCTACACCTGGTTTTCTGCTTCCGTGGTCCCTTCCAGTGTGTCCAATTTTTCCACTTCCTTTTAGGCTCTCTCTCTGGAGGCAGCCATGACTGATATGATGCACATTGCTATCCAGAAGCTCAAGCTTCTGCCATAGAGGTTATGTTGTCTTTCACTCTGCACTGGGGTTTAATTTCTAAGGTTGACAAGTCTCAATTTCTGCTTAGTCCAAAAGGAACTTTTCTCAACAGTAATGACATGCATATTGGCAATGTTGTATTGAGAGGAGGTTGAACCCTTTTCAATCAGTGGTGTCATCCATAACTTGTTTTTGACTTGGCTCTTTAATAGAGGTTTTCGCATCTTCCACAATAGCCATTGTTTATGGTGGCCTTATTGAATATTGTCCGATTATCACAACTACATATTTTTTGAATCCCTAGTTCTAGATTCCGCATATCGTCCTGGGTAATTGGTCCCAAATGACCATTCCAGTTACCTAACAGGTAGATTGAGGTTACGTGTTCTTTCTCTACACCTGTTTGTGACCTGAATCTTATATGCCATGTATCTCCTTTACCTGCAGATTTATTTTTGTGGCTACTGACCTATGGACATCATCCGTCAGAGTGATTTGCATTGTTTGTCCACAGACCACTTTCTCATTCAATGTTTTCAGACCAGTTCTTCTTACCTCATATTCTGCCAGATAGAAAAGGGGGTTAAATCCTTCTCTCTGATTCATCTGCTCACTTTTTCTCTGTACGTCCAATCAGATTTTGTTGTTGGTCATGTTCAGTGAGGGTCTTGCAGGTTTTGTTGCCTGCACTTATACCTCTAGAGATACTAGACAGCACTTTATTCTGGGCTTTGAAGGTGAGGTATCTTCTGTGAGTCACATGTGTCGTGGCAGTTTATATCTCACACAAGCCCCAGAGGGGCTTGAGAGACAACTAGGGGTGCTCAGAAACTTTAGTTTCTCTTCGATCCCACGTGCAGAATTATGGTATTGTTGAGAATGCTAGATTTTTTAAGAGCGGTGTGGGGTATGTGATGTATACCGATAATTACTTTCGATCCAGAGGTAATATACTAGATGAAAATTTCTGTTATTGGTTGGTTTCCCTATACTAGCTGGGTTGCCTCAAAGCATGTGGAAAAGCTGTCAAGTTGAGAAGGAGAGTTTACTGGTATGTATACCTTCCCCAGTACCTTTAAGTCACATTATTTGCCTGATCTAGCAGTCTCTTCATCTGGGGGTTTTTGCTTACCCCCTGTAACTACCTTAAGTATTTCTGCTAGATTATATAGAGGGGTGAGTATTTTTATTTCTACCTTTCAGGGACCCTTACCTTGTTTTCACAGGATACCACTCTGTGCGAGTGTTGCCCAGACAGGTGTGCTTTTATCAAACTAATTCCACACTAGCAACCACTATTTCACTATAATTACTACCATAAGACCACTTAGGAGCTCACCAGGTGGTATTACGATACTACTCTGGACTGCCATTCATTGACTATCACAAGTAAAGCTAAAGGGGATCCCACCCATCCTTGCCAATCATCAGATTGAATAAATTTGGGTTGGTTTGTGTTTTAAAAATTTGGGGAACTTGGTTCACCTATTACACTGTTTCCAGAGCTCCCCAATATGCATTAACCCTCAGATTATACTAGTGGAGCTAGAGAGTCCATACCAAACCCAGTTTCCAGCCACTGGGGTGGTGGACGGAGGCTTTTCCTTCAGAGTGTTAAAGTGAATTCCTTTCCAAACATTTAGTTGTCCCATCCTGGATCCATGGTTGAACACAGTTATACCACATCCTTTCTGACTAAATTTGGGAGTGAGGATGAATGTTCATAATTCCAGACCGAATGAGTTCTGTTTCTTTGGTCGAGTAAGGGATACATGATTCCGACATTCCAAGCCTGGGGTGGTGCCTTTCAGGCTTCTTCGGGTCTAGGAAAAGATTTATCTGCTTCAGTGTTGGTTACTTTCTCATTGTGATTTCTGTGATTCAGAAAGTATCACTCTATGGCTACAGATTGGGATCCATTGAAAAGTATATCTACACATAACATTGTATTCCAATTGCATTAGCCACCAACGTGGGATATACGGACCAAGACCCCTTAATTCCAACCTGAGTTGTGGAACCTCAGCTATCTAGTTGGGGCTGACCTATAGTGATGATCTCTCATGTACAATTCCATCCTTGATACAGGAACTAAGTTCAGGGTGAAAAGCATACCTGTTCTGGATGTAGTGCGGTTCCCCACTCCGGTGCCATTTCTTATTTTGGTACACCCATGATCTATACAGACACTGTCTGTATGGATAATGCCTGCACTGGCCCCTCCACCTTCTCAATGTGGAATTCTAGCTATAAGTGGCAGCAGAGATAAGTATGTTTTGGAAGTTAACATTTTCCTAAATTGAAAATGTATTTCTAATAATACTTACCTCCACTGACACTCTCCTACCCTTCCTCCCTACTAAAAGCCGGTGTTAGAGACTGGGATGATGTAAGTCTCATTATCTGAGTGAGGTGCTTATATACAGTGTCAGGATAGAGAGTGCATTGATGTGGGTGGAAGGATTTGCAAATTAGATAATGCCAAGAACATTTAAGTGGTGTATAAAAGACTGGAGCATGGGAGACCAATGCTTCTATGGCAAAGCCAACATCGAGGAATAGCTTATGTGTCAGAAGAAGGTAAGTATTATTGGAAATGCATTTTCAATTTAAGAAAATGTTAACTTTCTTAATTGCTTTACTTGCACATTAAAGTATATATAAATGACTCATCTAATATAAATGATTTAATTAATTTCTTCACTTTGTTTAGTCTTCTACTTTAATTTTATTAACGATTTGACTTATTTCATGTGTTTGTGTGTCTGTAACCTTAATTACGTTCTAACAGTCTCCTGTTGCCTACTCTAGATGTAGGGTCATCTGAGGGGCCATTATTAGTTATGTAATTGCTTACTGTTCATTATTTTTATCTTACCTCTGTTTATTTTACCAATATTTGCTGCTTTATTTCTCATTAATGTTCTCTGCTTGTTTTAACTCTCTCCCTATTACTAGGCTTAGTGATTTTCTCTTTTTTTAGCTCTGTCTCTTTTACAGTACTTAGACATACTAGCAGTCTCTCCTTTTCTATGTCTCATCACTACAAGAAGTACTAGTGGTATAGTGTTTTCATTCCTGATACCTAGCCTCACTGTCATGTGTTAGACATTGGACTACATGACTGAGTTAGCAGTAAGTTATCAAATGTTTCTACATAAACACACACGTCTGAACATATGATTCATTCCAAACTTAAAATCCCTGCCATGATTTTGTAGGAAATCTTGTCTGGAACACTATCTATTTCTAAGTCTATCTTACAGTATGTTTGAGTTTTAAACCTACAGTTTCTCTTTGAACACAAGATTTCAACTGTGATGAACTTTTCAGAACTTCCCTCTGTCAGTTGTGTACTTAACAGTGAAAATCTATCATCTCTATCAACTAATAACTAAAATTTTACTTGCTGGAGAAATCTCACTGACACTAGTCACACTATGCATGCTTAATCTGTTAACAACTACTGCTCAAATCACTTTTAGTTTTAAGGTACAGTTTGAGCTAGATTTTTTATTGCTTTATTGAATCTGTTTTTGTCAACATCTACAGTCATTAGTCATATTCCCATGTAATAGTTAAAACATTCTACTTACATTTTTTGTTTTATTTTTCTGCACTATTTCCATGTTTATATTTGGACAGTTTTATCTTAACATTTCTTTTAACCACTGAAGTTATCAGGAAACTCCAAAGTTCATATAGATATTTTACTCTAAGCTGTTTGCTCGTAGCTAAGCTACTTCTGTTTCCGTTAACCCTTTCAATACAGCTACTTCTGTTTCCGTTAATCCTTTCAATACAGCTACTTCTGTTTCCGTTAACCCTTTCAATACACATAAAGGCCAAAGTATGCATTTGATGACCTTTTACAGTGTTACATTCAAACTTTAATTAAAAAACGTCACAGCATCACAGTAGTAACATAGACAATACAAGCATCACAGTAGTAACATAGATAATACAAGCATCACAGTAGTAACATAGACAATACAAGCATCACAGTAGTAACATAGACAATACAAGCATCACAGTAGTAACAGATAATACAAGCATCACAGTAGTAACATAGACAATACAAGTATCACAGTAGTAACATAGACAATACAAGCATCACAGTAATATCATAGACAATACAAGCATCACAGTAATATCATAGACAGTACAAGTATCACAGTAGTAACATAGACAATACAAGCATCACAGTAATATCATAGACAATACAAGCATCACAGTAATATCATAGACAGTACAAGCATCACAGTAGTAACATAGACAGTACAAGCATCACAATAGTAACATAGGCAATACAAGCATCACAGTAATGTCATAGATAATATAAGCATCGCTGTAGTAACATAGACAATTCAAGCATCACAGTAGTAATATAGATAATACAAGCATCACAGTAGTAACATAGATAATACAAGCATCACAGTAGTAACATAGATAATACAAGCATCACAGTAGTAACATAGATAATACAAGCATCACAGTAGTAACATAGATAATACAAGCATCACCGTAGTAACATAGATAACACAAGCATCACAGTAATGTCATAGATAATACAAGCATCACAGTAGCAACATAGATAATACAAGCATCACAGTAGTAACATAGATAATACAAGCATCACAATAGTAACATAGACAATACAAGCATCACAGTAGTAACATAGATAATACAAGCATCACAGTAGTAACAGACTATACAAGCATCACAGTAATATCGTAGCCATTTCAGTTCTAGATATTCAGTAGATTTTAGTGGTGAATTGTTATAACTTGAAATATCTGTGTATATATGTGTGTGTGTATAATATGCAGATGGTTTTCAATTAGTATTGGAAGTCTCGTAAACATGATGACTTAATACATGAATATAGCCTCTTAGGCAATAATGCAGTATGTTGGACATTCTTAAGTTATATCATACACACATATTTCCTTGCAGGTATGATCCTGATGCTGATTTACCCAGTGATATCGACACACAGCAAGATAGAGTGATATTTGTAAAGTCTGTTGCTCACTTCATGGCAAGTTGTATTTTCAAGTATCTGCTACTAACATGTTTCCTATTGTCTCTGTAAGGTAGTATTTCCAAGTCTGCCACTAACATATTTCTTGTTGTTTGTGTATTAAACTATGAAATTAAATATCAGCATATTGATCAGTAATTTCTTCCATTATGGGTAATTTGGGATAGGACTTGTAACAGGAATTAGTAGTCAACATCCTTGTAACAGGAACTAGTAGTCAGCATCCTTGTAACAGGAATTAGTAGTCAACATCCTTGTAACAGGAATTAGTAGTCAGCATCCTTGTAACAGGAATTAGTAGTCAACATCCTTGTAACAGGAACTAGTAGTCAGCATCCTTGTAACAGGAATTAGTAGTCAGCATCCTTGGTTACAAGGATGCTGACTACTAATTCCTACCACAAGGATGTTGACTACTAATTCCTGTTACAAGGATGCTGACTACTAGTTCCTGTTACAAGGATGTTGACTACTAATTCCTACCGCAAGGATGCTGACTACTAATTCCTGTTACAAGGATGCTGACTACTAATTCCTGTTACAAGGATGCTGACTACTAATTCCTGTGGTAGGAATTAATTGTCATCATGCTTCTTATAGGATTTAGTAGATAACAATCATGAGATAAGGCTTAGTTGTCAGCCTTGTTCTATCTTCTCTGATGATCCAGAAACTCTTCTCTTCATGGTAATGGTTGGTATTGAAGAGAGAAAGATTTTTGATAGGTTGAAAAACTTATAACCCCTCCACTAATCACCTTATTGGGTTGCCTTTCAGTTTCACATGCCTTAACTTTTATTTGTGAAAGTGTGTACTGCAAAGTTATCACTGACTCACTAATACCCGTTACTGCTTCAGTACCCTTTTATCTGTATATCCATGTTTTATGCATCTCATTACAAAAATAAATTGTCATTTTTAGTTGTGTTACAACTAAGAGGTTAATACCTGTATAACTCTTATGGTAGATGAAGGTAACAGTAATGAAGGTGCATAATAATAGTATTGTAATGTTAATTGAAACATTCTAAATAACTTCATCATATGTATGTTCTCTTATTGAAACAGGTTAATTCTTAAAAAAGAAGTTAATAGGGTTGTTTACTTAGATCAGTAGCTCTTGTAGTTTTTACTTTATGTAATATTTTCCTAAGTCCTGCCATTGCTTGTGTAACTCCCCCTGTTGTGGAGTCATTATTGTATAGAAATGTTAATCACATTACTTATTTACTTACAAATATCACCGAAGCCTTAAGATTTGAATGGAAACCTAGTGACTGACAAATGAAGTGTTAAATTAAAGTTCTGACCTTCTTTATTGTGTAGGTTATTTCAACAAGAAGCCTTATTTTACACTACTGTCTTTACGTACTTGTCCACTTCATATGTAGGAATGTAACGAATAGCAAGGCTCACTCATGATGATTAACGTTCAGGTTATTCCATATAACTTAAGCTTTATTTGAAAGTGACATTGTATGGTTTTTATATACATCCATATAGAGGACTAAAGCTCAAATCAGGTTGAATATGAAAAAGCTCTATATGGCTGATGGTTACTCGGTTAAGGAGTTACTTAAGATCACCACACTTCTCTACAATGCCATGAGAACTAAAGAGTCAGGAGATGATCTTGATGAAGATAGTTCTTCTAATTTAAAGGTGAACTTGTCTGAAAGGGTATGTATGCAAATGCATAAGTTATTAGTGTATTACATCATGCAGTACATAACTTATGCCATTCATTCTAATCTGTACAGTCATTTGTGTTTAAATTGTTAACTAATTGTATATCAAAAAACTTAAAAATTCTAGTATTTCAGTTTAGGCCTTGCATTCTTGACCATTTCTAAAAAAGGTTGTTTGACATTTAAGGTCACAGGTTGTTTAAACTGTTGTCATATTTGACCACAGATGATAACCACACAGTTCAACTAATTAAATAGAGTTATGTAATGATGTATTAATAAACTTCTGTACCGTTATGTAACTTGAATGGGGTTACTTTTTTATGTAGCATAAATTATTACTGTGTCGGCATTGGACCTTACTCTACTTTTTCGATTTCAGATTTGATCAGCTTAGTTCCTTCTGGAAAACTGTATAGTTTAAATCGTAACTCTAAGAAGAAATGTGTTTTGTCACAGTTAACTAGTGCTGGACAAGTTATGCCCTGTTATATTGGTATCTCAATCTGGAAATGTTTTCATATGAACTTTTTTGAGATTGACTAATCTGCTGAATTCTGGTTTAATTATGCAAAATTTTCAGTTATGTTTTTTAACATTATTCTTACATTCCAGAGGTCTTGGTTTACTCAATTAGAAACTGTTAACATATAAATACAAATGTTTATATTATGACACAATACTGTCTTTTAATACTTGTTACAATATACACTTTTAAATCAAAAATTTTGTATTTCAATTATTCTTTTATCTTCAGTTTTTATTTGAATGTGCATCTAATAATGTAGACATCTTGCCAGTTATTTGTGCTGTATCTTGCTAGTTGGCCAGAATTACTGTGCTTTGTAGTTGCTGGAATAGAAAACCTAGTTATTATTAGTTTTCTTGTTACACTGGAGAGGGCAAGATCAGTAAAATTATGAATTTCAAATTTGTTAACAACTTGTTTTGGATATTTTCTAGGGTTTTGTTTTTTAATAAAAAACCATGATTGTAAATTTTTTAATATCATTTTTCTTTGTTGATGTAAGTTTTTATGTATAATACTGATCCTGATTTTTTTATTACATACAATATTGGTTTTGATTTATATGATTTTACTAGTTTTCTGTTGTGTTACATATTCTACTCTCAATTCTTTATGATATTTTTTTATAAACAAGAAAATGATTATTGTAAGTCCTGTGATAAAAGTTTTTTTTCACCATAGTTATTACTGAGCTTTACTCATAGTTTCTAGATTTTTAAAAACTTGTAAAATTATATATATATAAATAATATACTTGCTTTTGTCTGGAAATTTTCTCACAAATTTTTCGATCAAACACTACAAATGTCATATTGTCAGAAAGACCTTTGTCCGAGGAGTCCGGATTTCAGCTTTAGTTTTTCCATTCAAAATCACCTTACCTGGTTTTTTGCTTAGTCAAACTTATTAATGCAAAGAGACTGCCACATGATG